TGGCATTGTGCATGTAATATCACCTAAGAGGATCTGCTTTATTCTGCCATATTAATTGTGTGCGTTCAGTTTTCCTGAATACCAGTCAGGGATGACAACTGGTGATGCCAGCCTTCACTGAAAGCGCTTCTTGCACGTTGGTCATTTTTACCCCACCAAAGATACGTGCTATGATTAAAATTTAACTCATCATTTTCATCAGCTCTGTAACCAATATTACTTAACCAGTGTTAGTTTTATCTTCAATCAAAAGATTTTAAAAGAAATTTCTAGTTCTAATTGAAGTTTTCTTACTGCAAAACAGATTTCTGCTCCCTTTTCTCCCTTCTCACCCACCTAAATTTCCACATCACTTAATTTTATTTTCATCAGTTACAATTTTTGGCTAAAGAATAATTATTAATAATCCATTAATTTCTACATGTTCATAGTCTCCTGAGATAAGATTAATCCTGTTTATAGAAGAATAATTAAGTAAGAGAAATGGACTGTTTCATGGTACGTTGTTCAGCTTTAATCTCTCTTAGTTGTTTTATTTCCTCTGTTTCAATCAAGGGGCCTTAGGGGACCCACTACCTTTCTACTGATTAGTGTTGAATGTCTTTTGTTGTACCTAATTTTATCTTTATTCCTTAGAAACTAAAAGATTTCTTTCCTCTTTTACATGTAAAACTGATTTAAGAGCAAGTGCCTCTTATCATTTCAATCAGGAGATAAGATAAGGTACAACTTTCCATGGAGATTGAATTGTTTTAGATCTAAACTGTTCCATATGTTAGATAGCTATCAGTTGCAGGTGGCTATTGAACACTGAGTAACTGAATTTTTATTTGTATGTTTTTGTACACAGCTCAGGCTGGTGTCAACCTAACATTTCTCCTGCCTCAGGCTTTCTACTGTTGCTATTATAGGTATGCACAACCACAATCATGTTTTATCTAATTTTGAAAAGTTTAAGCTTAAATATCCACATTCCATAGTGACTCCTATATTGGGCCTATGCAGCTAACTAGATGTTCACTAACCACACCAGATTGGGATCAGAAATTTTTAAAAAAATGTTGTATGTCAAGCATGTTTAAACTCATCTATTCTTTTTTTAAGTTTTATTTTTAAGAGAAAAAATAAGACAAAATTTGAAAACAAGATAGTACAGTAACAATGGTTAATACATGTGTGTTATATTTAAATTAGTTACTCAGATTATAAAATATATAAACATTTAATTGTTCAAACAATATTAGCACAAACCTTTCTTTTTGATGAACTAAATTAGTAGTATACCTATCTTGTTTATAAATGTGTGTGTGTGTGTGTGCATGTGTGTGTTTTTGCTTTTCCCTTTCTTCTTTTTTCCTTCTCCCATCACGGTTTCTCTATCCTTTTGAACAGTTTCTTCCCATTTTACAGTATTTGTTGTACACTTTGGATCTTATTTACTTTTTCAGCTTTTTCTAGGGATATTTATACATGTGAATCTGATTTATTTCACTGAGTATGGTCTCAGGTTGAATCCATTTATCTAAAAAAAAGTCTAGTTTATCCTTCTTTGTGGCTGAGCAGTATGCCATTGTATAAAAAGACTACATCTCTTATCCATTTCTCAGCTGATGGGCATTTGCATTTTTTTCAAGATCTAGCTATTATAAATTGTGCTACCATAAACATGGATGTGCATATATCGTTATGGCACCATATTTTTAATTCTGGGAAGATACCCAGAAGGGTAATAGCTGAGTCAAATGGGACCTCCAATCCTAGTTTTTTGACAAATCTCCACACTGATTTCCACAGTGGTTGTACCAGTGTACACTCCCACCAACAGGGGAGAAGGGCTACTTTTTCCCCAAGGCCCTCCAGCATTTGTTACTGGTTGATTTCTTGATAATAGTCATTCTTTTCAGGGTGAGATGGAATCTCAGCATTGCTTTAATTTGCATCTCTCAAAGGACCAGTGATGTTGAACATTTTTTCATATAATTATTTGCTGTTTGTATTTCTTCATCTGAGAAGTGTGTATCTCAATTGCCCATTTTTTGGATTGGATCTTTAAATTTGAGAGGTCTGATTTTTTTTTTTAGTTCTTTATATGTTTTTCAGTAGTAATCCTTTGTCTGAAGAACAGCTGGCAAACAGTTTTTCCCAAATTATGGGTTGTCTCTTCACTCTATTGGTGGTTTCTCTTGCTGTGCAAAAGCTTTCTAATAAGATGGGATTCCCAGTTGTTGATTCTATGTGTTAGTTCCTGTGCAGTTGTGATTTTATTCATAGTCTTGACTTACGCCAATATCTTCAAGAGTTTTATCTAACCTGTTTTCCAGAAGATTTAATGTTTCTGTTTTAGTATTTAGATCTTTGTTCCATTTCAAATTTAATTTAGTGCCTGGTGAAAGTTAGGGGTCCAATTATAATCGTCAGCCTGTGCAAAGGCAGTTTTTCCAGCACCATTTTTTAAAGAGGCTGTCTTTTAGGCTAGGGATATGGCTCAACACTTGCCTGGCAAGCACAAGGTCATGAATTTGATTCTTGGTTCAAAAATAAAAGAGGCTATCTTTCTTCCAGTGAATGTGTTTGGCACCTTTGTCAAAGATAAGGTGGCTGAGTATGTCTGGAGTTGTTTCTGCATCTTCAAATCTGTTCCATTGATCTTTGGCTCTGGTTGTTTTTTTTTTTTTTTTTTTTTTTTTTTTGCTTTGGTTTGGTTTGGGTTTTTTGCCAGTACCAGGTTGTGTTTTGTTTTGTTTTTATCACAGTTCCTTTATAATGTAATTTCCAAGTCAGAGACTGTGATGCTTCTGGCTTGCCCTTGTTGCCCAGAATTGCCTTTACTATTCTAGGTTTCTTCTGGCTCCAAATTAATTTTAGTTTTGTTTTCTGTAATTCTGTGAAACTCATCTAGTCTTGATTTTCCCTGTATAAGCTCTTTTATTTGGCACTTACCTTCTACCAGTCTCCCATACTTATAAGCCACCAAGAACAGAACTGGTGATTAGCTCCTGTGGTTCATATCTCCTCTATAAGGTGATGATGAGACTAGTAGATAAGACTTATTTCTCGTTCCTGTTTACCCTGGGATGCCCGTAGTCAGCTAACCCCTCTCTATCCATGTCTTAGCTTTTCAGACTGGCACTACTAAACGGTAAAAACTAAAACCAGCATCACTGGTTACACAATTTGGTGGGCGAAACTGGATTGACACACAAGGTATTACCAAACCATAAAGTGCACCTATTAGCTATTTAAGATTCTGGGGAACTGTAGGGAGACCTTTTCCTATAAAAAGTTGACAGGGATGTTGCCAGGTACCCGGACCATGAGCATAAGTCAGAGAACCCTGTGGCAGGACTTGAGGTTGGTGAAGGCATTTGGAGCCATCAAAGACCACAGCTGAATTAATCATGTTCCCTATTCTGTAGGATGTGTTCACTGAAGTAAAGTCTCAGCTCTCTCATTCCAGCTTGCTCCTCACGAACTAACTGCAGGCATTGGCTCATAGAACAGCATTTCTCATCTATAAATGAGATGGGCTGCTAGGTTACTGGTACATTTCAGCTCTGTGATGCTATGATCCACCACAGATGGATCGTTCTTTAACAGAAAGTAGAAGAAAAGGTGTGACTGGTCTTCATTTCTGCTGTCAGGATCACCAGCCACACAGCACAGAATCACCCTCCCCTCACTGTAGCCAAACCCAGAGGTTCTGCTATCCTTCATCTTTTGAACCCCATCTGTATGGTCAGTATGTTGAGTCAGACACATAACTAGCACTGTAAGAATGTTAGGGATCTCTGTCGCTGTGTCTATATCACCTCCCTTGTCATGAATCCATTATGTCACCCTTGCTTCAACCACCTTTGATGTCTGCCTAGCACTTTGTAGAGAGTATAATCTAAACTGCTAATGAGGTTTCCAAGTATTTTAGGATGGAACTCCTTCTCACCCTTCGAGTTCCCTCTTGCTGGTCAGTGACTACCAGCTCATAGTACTCAATACACTTTGCACCCTCTTGTACCTCATGACCATGTGCATGCTATTCCCTTTTTCCAGAATTCCCTTCTCTTCATCTCTGTGTACCATGTTCATCTTTCATGACTTGGCTTATACCTCACTTCCTCCCTGAAGCTTTCCCTGACCACCTTTCATGTTTTCCCCTTTTCTCTTTCATTTTCCAGTACGGTGTGGATTATGCTAATACAGGTTTAAAAAATGTGCAAATACAGTTGGAATTCAAATTTGGAAATTACAGTGTACAAATCTTAAATACATAATCTGACTAATTAATTCATTCATTAATTTTAAAAAAATTGGTACTGAGGACTGAACTCACTTACAAAGCAGGTGCTAATGCTAAATCCCCGGCCCAGTGTGATTAATTTTTAATGTATAGATCTATGTAACCAACACCTAAATCAAGAAGTTAAATATTTCCACTACCCAAATGGTTCCCTCATGCCTCCTCCTAATTAGCATCATCAAAGGTAACCATTTTTCTTATCTCTTTTCACTATAGTTTTGCTTATTTTTTGAACTTTATTAAAATATATTCATATACCATATGAAAAGTTTTCCCTATAGCTTCCCCTTATCTTTATTAGGATAAAATTATAGAACATAAAATTTGCTATTTTACTGTTTTAGGAACAGACACTTCACAGAAGAAGAAATATAAATGATCAACAGATGCATGAAAACATGTTCAACATCTCTGGCCATTAGAAAAAAGCAGATTAAAAAACTCTTTATGATTCTGTCTTACTCAAGAAATCAAACAATAACAAATACTAGTATGGTTGTGTAAATGTCTGTGTAAATACAGTTCTGTTAAGATACATACCCAGGAGTGGGATTACTGGGTCATAAAATAGACATAGATTTAGCTCTAGCACATAACAGCCAATCTTTTTACAAGGTGGCTTTTGTTCATGCCTATTACTGTTGTGACAGATTATCACAAACTTAGTGCCTTAAAGTAAAACAGATATATTATCTCTTAATTCCAGTGGACAAGGAGCCTAAATCCCAGATGTGAGCCAACATTTTCTGAGAAGTTTCTAGGGGAGAATCTGTTTCCTTGTGGCACCTTCTTACACTTTCAAGATCAGGTTAGCAACTTCCTTTTTCTGTCTCCAACCTCTATATCCATTGGCACGTGCACTCACTCTCAATAATTCTTCCACCTCCCATGTGATGACCTCAGGCTCACCTGGGAAATCTTAGAAAATCTCTCTGTCTCAAGAGCCTTAACTTAATCACATCTGCAAAGAAAGGGCTTCTTGTCACATAAAGTAACATTCATAAGTTCTGGAGACTGGAACATAGTCATTTGGTTGGGGGAGGAGGGATTTTTTTTTTTGAGGAGGGATTATTTTGCCTGCCACATGACTGTACCATTTTTATTCCCATGAGAGTTCCAGTTCCTCCACATATTTGTCAGTACTGGTATTGTCAGTCCTTTTAACTGCAGCCATTTTAGTGCAGGTATGAAGGCACATGCATGGCGACCACCTCAGGCAGTGTGTCCTCCCTTGTTTCAGAAGCTTTACTGCAACATACCTATACTGTGTTATGAATATTTGTTTATATTTTTTATTTATATATTTGTTTATATAGCTCAGTCTTATCCCAGTCAAGCACTGCTTCATGATGCAGAGATTATATAGTAATTGATTTAATAAATGCTTCTTGATTTCTAAGAGCTGACTGAGGGACAGTTTTCAGTAGAGAAGCCAAGCCCTAAAGATGTAAATGTAAGTCCGTGCTAATGGTCTTTCGTCTGTCTCGGCTCCAGGATCTCAGTCAGGTTCTCTCCAATAACAATAGGAATACAGCATAGAAATTGGCTTTCAGCTTTTGCAAGCTTATTGTCTTTCCCAAGATAGTTAATCTGTAAGTGAGTAAAGCCTGTGAAGAGATTTGGGCCTCATCTCCTAAGGTGTGGGTTGGAAATGACTTCACTGTGTTTGCAAATGAGAGGGGAATGAGTTTCTGGCAGGCTTCTTGGACTTTTTGCAGGGACACAAGTTTGTCTTGTCCTGGGATTCAACTCATATAGCAACAAACTGCACCTTCTCACTTATACAAAAAGAAAGACTTGAAGGTAAGTAGTGCCTTCTGGACCTCAGGGACTATTATATGTGTAGACTTAAACCTGCTATGGAAACTTGAGACCAGAATGTTTGAGGCCCAAAGTCAGAGTAGAAATTAGTTTTCAATGCCCCTAGATGCAGGCTGGTGGGTACACATGTCTTGATGCTAGAAAGAGCAACAAAGAAGATGGGATGAGTAGATGTCAAAAGGCAGACAAGATTGTGGCTTCACTGGGAACATCCCTATGTGAGTAACTACCTTCTACATTCTGTTTGACTCCTTAGAATATTTTTCTGGGCACATACCTGGTTTCATAAGGGCTATAAGGTTTCTGGTCCTCCCTTTTATCTTTTCTGGCTGCCGAGGTGTTGGCAGTGCTCTATGGCTTGCAATTACTTTGACCCCCCTGGGGTGTGGCATATGTGAAACCTTACAGGTGTAGGGGAGGACTTCCTCAGCCCTCACAGACCTCTTTTTTTATTGAGATCTGGCTGTTTAGTATTTGGATTGAAAGTGAATCAGTCTTTGAAGAAAAGTATTATCTCAGAGTAGGAGTTTCCTTTAATAGGTCTGTGCAGGGCTTATTGGCTTCCAATTAAAGTTACTGTCCACATCATAGCTTTAGTGATTTCAATAATTAATGTATGTGATTCATAAGCCGATATAAAACAAGCCAACCATAGCAGAGTGTAGGTATAAAGGGACTTAAGTCATATGGCAAGTTCACATACTACAAATGCTGGAATGGCTCAACAAGGCTATGGCTCTGTGTGTATGGAGGCTGGGTGATTTCTTAAACGTCCACTCATATCTGCTGTATCTGAAGTGCAGAGGTCATGTGGCTGCATTCATGCTGAGAACTATCCCTCCAGGATTCTTGCAGGCTCCTCTTTTGCTCCCCTTATTTTGGATCAAGTAGGCTGAGGGGATAACCACCTGCCTGGCAAGTACAAGGACCTGAGTTTGATTCCTGGTACCACAAAAAAAAAAAGAGGTTGAGGGATTGGCCTTTTGGAGTTACCTCTGAGGCAGTGAACCCTGAGTCTAGAAGGGATGTTTTTTCTTTTTCCTTTGAGAAATAGGGTTTGAACCCAGGGACTTATCATGCTAGGAAAGTGCTCTACCTCTGAGCTGTATCCCTAGGCTTTAAAAATTCGTTTAAAGACAGGGTCTTGCCAAGTTGTCCAAGATGCCCTTAAATGTGGAATCCTCCTGCCTCAGCCTCCCAGGTTCTTACACTGCTATGGCGAGCAGGCCTGGAGTGGATCTTAAGAGAAAATGTGGGGTAAGCTCCTCCTTTTTTTTATTTTGTTTTTTTGTCGTTTTCGGTACCAGGGATTGAACTCACCACTGCCTGCTTGCAAGGCAGGCGCTTATGCCGCTAAGCTAAATCCCCAGCCCCAGCTCCTCCTTTTTAAGCAATTAGGTCTTCACTTTTTCCAAGATAGACATTGGATCTCCACTGGATATTTTCTCAGACTGAAGGGGCACCCCTCACCTCCTGGGTTAGGAGGTTCCTTATGTTGATATAAATATGCCTCCTCTTTCTATCCCTTTTATAGGCCAGTAGGACAAACACTTAGCATCCTTTTTAAAAAACTTCCCTAAACTCCTAAACTTAAAAACATCTAGCATACCACATAACTCTCTTTGCTTACTAAAAGCCAAGTGTAGGTTCCAGTTTCAGAAAATTAGATGATTTTTCTCTTAAGCTCTGGGCCAGTATGTAGCACTGTGTGTCAGGTTGGAGGAGGGAGCAAGGGAGGATAAAGAGTATTTCTCTCTTCCTCTGTCTGGGGGAAAACACAAACCGCACAAAATGGGAAAAGTTTACCTAGGACAATGAGAATCAGGGCCTGAATTCTTTTTTTGTTTTTTTTGTCTTTTTTCATTTTTTTATCGGTACTGGGGATCGAATTCACAACTGCCTGCTTGCAAGGCAGGCGCTTATGCCGCTGAGCTAAATCCCCAGCCCCAGGACCTGAATTCTTACATAGTTACAGGAAGAAGCAGAGGAATGCTATTGGTTGCATAACTTCCAAATGGAGAACAATTATGTATTTTAAAATTTCAATTTATAGGGCTATGGCTGTGGCTCTTGCCTAGCATGCACAAGACCCTGGTTTCAAATCCCAGCATAGAAGGACAAGAATAAGAACAAGAATTATTATTTCAGTACATAAATTAAGCTCTGAGTAGGAGAAAAAGAAACATCATTCCTTTGCAGAAACTGAAGTACGTGGCCTAAGATACGGGCCTCCAGTGAGTATATGTTGAGTACCTGGCAGTGCTGACCTGATAACCACAGGACATCCAAGTGTAAGTGGCTATCCCTCCCCAAAATAATCACCTGATGTGGGGACTTGTACATGTGCAAAAACTTGACTTCATGCCTCCAGCCACAGCGAACTGTGTGTTCATCTGTACCAATTTTTATATTTCAATTAATGCTTCTTTTCAGTTTCTCTTAGAGTGTAGCAAGTTAAAGTCTATCTTAGTAGGTCACCAGCTCTTTGGAAGCCAAAAACTGTATATATCAATAAAGTATACAAATGTACATGTCACAAAAATATTTTATGTCTATATACATTAGTCTGGAACCCTGTACTTACTACAAAAATAAGGATAAGCACATCTTCTGCTTCGTGGAACACTACTTATGTGTAAGGCACTATGCTAAATATATATATATATAAAATCTAATATAATCTTTGTGTCAGCCCCATGAGGAGTTTCAATTATTATTCCCATCTTACAAGTAGAACAACTGAGGCCAGAATAGGCCGAGAAACTAATCTACTGCCCCAAAGCTAGTTAGTAGTCAAGCTAGTATCTGATTAGATTAAAGTGTTGAGTCATAAACTCTTGACCAAGAAAGAGGTGGCAGGGTTACCAAATGGTCAGTTTATGCAAATAGTTAGAGAAGTTTATGTCTGTATCATTCTGAGTTAGAGAAACAATAGAGACTTAGGGTTTCTCGGGAGAAGCAGTGACAAGTTTTGGGAAGTTGAGGAGAGGGATGCATAATGGGCAAAGGTTGCCTTACCATAGGGAAAACCTCTTGGGTAATCATTCTTAGATATTCCCTAGGCCAGTTTTAGGCAAATGGCGGGGGGGGGGGCCTCAAAAAAGAAAGTACGTGTATCTTTATTTACTTTATTAATATAGATACAAGAAAATTGCATTTACAAAAGGGTAGGTTTTTCAGAACTGTTTCTCTCTAGTTTCTCTGAATAATTATGCCAAAGAAATATATTTTGGGGTGGCATATTCTGCGGTTCCACAATATTAAGTTTGGATCTTTAGAGGTATGGGCCTTAATTTTTAATTGTTTTTCACAAACTTTAACACTTTACCCATTTTTTAAGTGTATAGTTCAGTGATGTTAAGTGTATTTGTCATGTTGTATAACCATTACCACTATTTCTAGACTTTTCCATGAAAACAAACTTTTTTGTATTGCAGCACCTTCACTGTGGGAAATTGATACATATACATAACACATCTTTTTTATGTTTTTGTTCCTTGCCCTTTCCATTCTTCTCATGTCCTTCAACTTTTCATCCTCTTCCCATTTAGGAAAGCACTGTTTGCATTTATTCAATTCCTTTTTTCCATCCCTTTCCTTTCCCTTTCTTCACCTCCCTCCATCTTGTTTCCCCTTCCCATTTGAAAAAGATCTCCGTATTTCCCATTATGTATCTTTTATTTTGCTCTTTGTTTATACCCAAACAGAAAATTTTATATCCCTTAAAAAGGCAACTCACTGGGGCTGGGGATTTAGCTCAGCGGCATAAGCGCCTTCCTTGCAAGCAGGCAGTCGTGAGTTTGATCCCCGGTACCGATAAAAAGGAAAATGACCAAAAAAAAAGGCAACTCACCTTTGTGCCTCTTCCTAATCAATTACTCTTGTAAGCACTATTTTACTTACTTCTCTATAGATTTGCCTATTCTAGGTACGTAATACCAGTAATCCCTGTTACAGAATTTATTAGCATCTTGTTCCTTTTCAAAG